TGAGGAGAAACTATAGCCTGCAAGTAGTTTTCCTGTGTGAAGTTGGGGACTAGGGTCACACGCCTCATATGAAAAGAGGGTCTGACATCACTCCTCCATCCAGGTTTTTTCACTAAAATGCACTGATTGCCTAAGGTAGGCAGTCATGGCTGAGATCCAGTCCAAAACCATTATCAGGGACTAGTCCTGCCCAAGCAAACAAAGGTAGAAACAGACCATCCAGGCAAGAGGGAGCACACACTGAGTCACTAATATATGACCTGGTTTAGAGCTAAATGAATTATGAGGCTCAAAACAACCATCCCACAAGGAGGAAAGGGCTCATGAAAGGGAAAACCCCCACAATGATGAGGTTTTAGTCAAAAGCTAGAAAACCAAGGACAATTCAGAACTAAGAAAAACTGTCAAGGAACCCAGTGAATGTAAAAGTTCACATACAAAAAAAGATAGAAGTTTAAAGAATACCAAATGGACTTTAAATAAATTTTTAAATACTTTAAAGAAGTAAAAAGAGAATAAGAGCCCCTCAAATAATAGGAGATTCTAAATTAGCAACATGTAGATATTTTAAAAAATAACTTGAAAACCAGAAGGAAAATATAGTTATTGAAAATAAATATAAATGAGTTAGTTTAGTTTAGGTCAATAAACAGATGACCTAAATAGTATGCATGACAAGAGTTCATGAACTGTGAGACATAATTGAAATAATATTGGCTTGGTGCCTATAGCACAGTGGTTACAGTGCCAGCCACACAGACTGAGGCTGATAGGTTTGAACCCAGCCTGGGTCTGCTAAGCAACAATGACAACTGCAATAAAAAAAAATAGCCAGACGTTGTGGTGGGTGCCTGTAGTCCCAGCTACTTGGGAGGCTGAGGCAAGAGAATTGCTTAAGCCCAAGAACTGGAGGTTGCTGTGAGCTGTGATGCCACAGCACTGAGACTCTGTCTCAAAAAAAAAAAAGAAAGAAAGAAAAAGAATATACCATTATGGGGTGTACATCAGGAAAGAAAAATAAAGGCAACATTAGGATACACAGAAGATAAATGAGCTGCAATAAAATATGCCAAAGACAACTTTGAGAATGAGAAAAATGTTACAAAGGGAAGAGGTAATTTTCACAAAAATAATGACTAAAATTTGAAGAGAAATTTGAGACTGTCAGATGAAAAATCATGCATAGACTAGGCTAATGAAAAATAAATTATATACTATACATAAATTGTATATATGAAAAAAAAAAGAGAAAAGAATCTTAAAAGCTAGAAGGAAAAAATTAAAGAGCCTAAAGAGAACTACAACCATTACCACAAACAAAAACAGTCAACAAACCATTTAGTAATATTTTCCAAGGAGTGAGGGAAAAGGAACGTGGACCTGTAATTTTATACCCAGCCATACTTTCACTCAAGAATGAGGGCAAAATAAAGACATTTTCGTAGATATAAATTAGTGAACTATAGTACTGCTATCCACAGAAAGGATTGTAAAGGTTATAGTTAATAAAAAGAAAAATGAACGAACAAAGAAATGAGCTATAAAGGCAAGAAGGAAAAGGAAAATATTAGTTCGTTTCCAAACTCTATAAAAATGAACTTTTTAAGTTTTAAGGACAATGGTATTTATTTCTTTCCACTTTTTCTCCTCTGGGATTTATGACC